TCGATCAGCAGGTGACCTTACCAGGCCCAAATTTGCTAATGTCTACATGTCCTTCTGGAACTGGGTGAAGCAAAAGTTGACAGGATCTGTACTTCTTCAGTACTTAAGGAAAACAGTCCAAAAGGGGTATTAGAAGGAAATGATTTTGCGGAGTATTTTAAATACTCAGGAAATTAAATACCTCATTCTGATTTCTTTTAATAATCAGGTTGGCCTGGTCCGTTGGATTGTATAAAAACAGCAGGATGATGACCAAACAACTTTAAACCAGGGTTCCTTGTCTGTTACATTCTGTCTCCAGGATGAAAAATGCATCTTTATTTTCATCTGTATCTATACACATCGAATATTGTATAAAACCCTTTTATTATATGAGTGTCACATTGCACCCCTAGCAAGCATGTAAAATTACATGTGCATCTGAACAGATTTCCATGCCTGGCACACAGCACATCTATATGACTGTGTTCACCTTCCTCGTTGTCCAATCAACATTCATATTTGCAGCTGTCTACATATGCAAATATGTATCAGAGAAGCTGGTTCTGCTAAGCAGGTCACACAGGTCGTGGCCCAGCATGAATAATTCTAAAGAAAACTGGAAAAACCCTTGCAGGGCAAATGACCTTCTGGCTTGGCTCAAATGCTTTGGCCCATTGAAAGGCAGCGTTCCAGTGACCTCAGGCCCTCTCAGTCCATTTCTGCCCTTCTAGAGGGTCCATGCCCTCCAGGCAGCCTTTTACTATGGGAGAACAGTCATTTCCCTTTTAGACTGTAGTCTCCAAATCCTTATTTTGACAACATATAGCCTTCCGAAAAACAAACAAATCAAAGTAACAACAGCATGTAAGCAGATTGGAACTTACACAATCCCTTTTGTTCTTAGTGCTTGTCCGATAGAAAATACAGAAATAGGTAAGCAGGCTGTCAGAGCCATGACTGGCATTCTTTGCTGAAGATTAGCCCTCCCATCTGTCTCTCAGGACGCCAGGCCTGGACAGCACAAGGGGAATCTGAGCCCAGGCCAGAGCTCCCCACCAACTGCCTGAGCTTGTATCTGGAAAGGGCTTGTTGTGTTTTGTTTTGTTTTGTTTTGTTGTAGCTCTGTCTGTGAGCGTGTGCACACCCAAGCACGTGTGCCCACATGCAATTTTATTATCTTAATTATATACACATTTCAGGGTTAGTTTTTCTCGTACAACTCCTATTTCCAAAGAGTGTGGTCATTGTCTTTGTCTGTTTGCACTCCTGTAACAAAGTGCTCTGAACTGGGTAACTTACTTCAGAAAATTACTTTTCATAGTACTAGAGGCCGGAAGGCCAAGGTCACGACATTGGCAGATTCGGGGCCTGGTGTGGGTCTTCTTTCTCATTCACTGATAGCACCTCTCCTTCTCTCTGTACCTTTCTGGGGTGGGAGGGCTGAGAGAACTCTCTAGGGTTTCTTTTAAGGGCATTAACCTCATTGATGAAGACTACACTCTCACAATTTAATCAGCTCTCCAAAACCCCACTTCCTATGTCTATCACACTGGAAGTTGGGGTTTCAAAATATTAATTGGTGGAGGAGGGGATACATTCAAATTTATAGCATTCTACCCTTGGTCCCCAACACTTATGTTCTTCTCAAATGAAAAGTATGTTTATTCCACCCTAACAGCCCCCGAAGTCTTAACTCATTCCAGCATCCACTCAAAAGTCTATTAACTCATTAGAGCTCCAACTCAAGGGTCTAAAGTTCAGATTCTCACCTAAATATCCAAATCAGTAATGGGTGAAACTTAAAGCTGTTTTTCATCCTAACTGTGAATTTGTGAAGTTGAGTAAGTCATGTGCTTCCAAAATACAAGTAAGTGTAGGACTGGCATACCACAGACATTCTTATTCCAAAAATGAGAAATAGGAAAGGAGAAAGGGTCAGCAGTTCCCAAGTGAGCCCCAAAGTTTAAGGCTCATAAGCAATCTTCTTGGGCTGGATCTCTGCCCTCCAGGCCCACTGGGGTGCTGAGCTTGCCACTGGAGCTCTGAGAGTTCTTTCCTGGGCCCCCACCTTCACAGTAGCTCTGCACCTGGGTCAGGAATCACACTGCAATGACGTTTTCAGTGCAGGGTCTTGGGAGCAGCCAACACCTCCCATACGCCACTGAATATTGCCTTGGGGTGTTCTTTGTGGCGGTCCCACACTACAACAGATCTCTGCCTGGGCCCTGTGGCTCTCTGAGGCAGACTTGGAAATCTAAGTGGAAGCAGTTGCGCCTCTTCAATTTTGCTGGCACCTATAGCTGCACTGATGCTCACTAGAGTGGTGTGGGAACCTAGGGTGGAAGAGGAGCTTGGCAGCAGAGCACAGGAAGCAGAGCCCAAGATACACGGTGGCACACAGCAGTGGTGCCCATTCTGCTCAGGAGGCCCTTGAACTCTGGGCTTCTGGGTCCATCTTCCACTGTCTCGGTGAATGGCAGCTGGCTTCTACTGAAACAGCCAATCCATTCCAATCTTCTTATTGGTCATGTGCCCACTTTAGGTGTGTTGGGCTAAACATGCCCTCTCATTCTTTACTGTATGGATAGGCTGGAGAGTTTTCAAAATTTTAAGTTCTGCTTCCCTTCCCATTAAAAAATTTGTCTTGGGGCTGGAGATTTAGCTCAGCAGCACAGCGCCTGCCTAACAAGCACAAGGTCATGAGTTCAATTCCTGGTACCAGAAAAAAAACAAAAACAAAAACAAAAATTTTGTCTGGAAATCATTTTACTCTTCTCACATTTTTCTGTGATTACTCTCATGAAGCCAAGCCATCCCTTCAACACTTCACTTAAAAACTTCCAAATATTCAAATTTTAAAATCAAATATCCAATTGCATTGCTCACAAGTTCTACCTTCCCAAAACCCCTAAGAAATGAGATTTAGCATGTTATTTGGCACTTTGTACAGGCATGACCACTAAGATATCCCTGATTTCCACCTGAGACCCCATCCACGTGGTCTTCACTGTTCATATTTTTACCAATAATCTATTCATGACCTCTCAGATATTCTCTAAAGAGACCAAAGCATCTTTACAGTGCTTCTCTTCTTCTGAGCCCCCATCAGGTAATGGTAATGTTGGCTTTTTCTGCCATGTACTTCCAACCTCTTCAGCCTCCATCCACTGCCCTGTCCAAAGCCACTTGGGCGCTTTCAGATGTTCATCACAGTGGCATCCCCAACCCTTCTTTTTTAATATAAGGAGTACACATTTATGTACAGTAAGCGCATAAGCCAGTAACACTGTTTTTTAATTACTATTTTCAGTTACTAATTATGCACTGGACGTAATTGTATGTGCTATATACTTCCATACAACTACCATAGGTTTGTTTACATGAGTATCACCACATAATGGATAATATATTACATTGTGATGTTACAAAGTACAAAGTACAGTGTCACTGTGTCATAGGAATTCTTCAGCTCCACTGTACACTTATAAGATCACCAACATAGATATGTTATTTATCATCATTGATAATGTCCTTATATAACTTATGACTGTACAATATACTATATGGTTTATAAACTACAGAAATTTATTTCTCACTCTTCTAAAAGCTCTAAATCCAAAATCTAGGCACTAGCCAGAGCTCCTACTCTTAGAACACACTACCTGGCCATGAAGTGTGTTCTCCTGGGACAGGGTCACACTCTGTCCCTGTGCTAATGCCTCACTGAAGACACACTTATACATCTTTGCAAATCTCTGTTATGCCTTGAATTTCAATGTCCTCCCAAAGCCTTATGTGGTCATAGGTGGGGCTTTTGGGAGCTGGCTGGACCTAGACTATGTGATGCTGGGATTAAGGATGTGATGCTGGGATTAAGGGTGCATCACCCAGGGTATGCGTGCTACCCACCCAAAGGTTGGGTATCCTGGTTGGAATATGAGGAACAGAAAGAAAGCCTGCTTCTGCTGCTGCCATTGCTTGCTGCTTACTATTTGCTGCTTTGCTATCTCCTACTTGCTTGCCATGAACTATTTCTCCTCTGTGATGCCCCTCTGCCATGCCACCCTGCCTTAGAGGTAGCTCACTGTGAACTAAAACCTCCACAAACCATGAGTCAAAATAAACCTTTCCTCTTTTAACTTTGGGTGTTGGGTATTTTGTCTCAGTGATGAGAAAAAGTAACTAAGACAATCTGGGACTGTGGTACAAATGGGATGCAATGTAAAGAGGATTCAATGGATGGGAACATCAAAGAATAAAAAGATGAAAGGTAAAAATGGAATCAATGAAAGACAGAAGGCAGACAACAAAAGAGAATGAACAGGAAGAAAGGGGAGAAGAGAGAGCAGAAAGAAGGAAAATCTACTCTTTTTTATTAGCATTGCCACAAGACTAGCCTTAGGCTCGACACTTTATGAGTCTTCATATTCTTCTTATTAATTGAATTAAAATGAAATGACAGTGTTGAATACTAACTCAG